ATGATATTCTTGAGTCCCTCCCCAACTTTACCATTAAGATTGAATTAGTCTTGTTAAATGAGTTGTTCACCTTTCCTTCTTTTCCACTTTCTGAAACATTTATTATACCACGAGTTCTAACATCCATTCGTATCAAGTTAAAATAGGCCTTTTAATCCTTTTTGGCCACCTGGACTTTTAAGGAAAATGAGAAATTTTTCTACTAACTGAGTTTCTTTTATGGTTCTTAATTTGGGTATCTTATTCTCTTCATTCTAATGTTTGTGTCTCCAGGAAATCACTGGTTTAGATAAGCTTTCAGATTTACTGTTATAAAAATCTGATCTTCCTCATATTCAACTTTTGTAAAACATACCTTCCATCTTACATGTGCTGATCCCTTTCTTTTTTGTTTTGTTTTTTGGGTGCCAAGAGTGGAACCCAGGGCCCACACATGCTGAGAGTGTGCTCTCCCACTGAGCCCCAACCCAAGCCCTGCCCCTAGTTCATCCTGGGTGGAGCGGTTGAGAACAACCCCTGATTTTCAACCATGAGCCATTTTATATGGAGCATTTTTAGATCCCCTTTAACCAACAGAAATAACTCACAGTGATAATGAGCCTCAGTGCCTTTTGAATCCGCTTTCACCAAATATTTGTTTTTCTGTAATGTAGAGGGATGTTCATCTTGTATTGGAACCAAGCCATATACTTTTTTTTAATTTTATGCTTTGTTTTTTCATTGCTAGCTGTTCACTGCAAAGAATATCATTGAAATGTGAACTCATTGCAATGCCTAGATCAGAAATTCCTCCTCAGCTTACCGTTTCTCATTTTAAAGCTATCCTGGACGCACTTTTCCTGCTTCCCAAAACCTTCAGAGAACACTCTTGAAAGTCACGGTGCAGAGAGTTCTGACATTTTCTGTGAATTACTCTAGCTCATCTTTCTTTCATTAACAGAAGCAACTATTTCAGCTTAGCGACTGTGGTCTGTGCATGACTTGGTGTTGATTCTTCAGGCTCCTAGAAGGTGCTCCACCTGATCCTACTTACCATTCTTATTTTTTTTTCAAAGTCAAATACAGTCAATCTGAGTTGTTAGATGAATAATACATTTCTTAATGTTATAAATGAAAAATGTCATTTTACCATTTTTCTAGTAATTCCTTCCACTGTATTCTCTCCAAGGTGATGAATTGAGGCACTTTAGTTCCAAGGAAGGCAAAGGAATGTGCATATGAGGTAATGCCATTTGATTCCTTTACCGAGATGAAACAATTTTCCTAATATCTTTTCTTGCAGTGCTTCTCTGGGCAAGTCCAAGTCAAGATCTTATTTGCAATATCAGTTGCTGCCATCTAGTGGCTTTTGTGGAGAAATAATGTGATTTTGAAATTGCCTGGAGAGAGTTCTTGAAGACCCTTACCACTTAACTCTTATCAGAACTGTGAATTTAAATAAAAAGATTGAGGGTGGAAGAAAAGGCTGCTTATATTTTTATACCATTACAGCAAAAACCTAAGAATTTATACATAGATGATTTTAAATGAGAAAAATATCTCGGCTTCTTCAGACTCAATTCTTCAAACACCTTAATCTACGAGCAGAACCTCTGTGGTCTGTTTTCAGACCGCTCCCGTTCTCAGTCAAGACCACTTGCAGGTCAATGGGTCCAATCTGGGAAGGAGCCATCAGAATGCCACAGAAGGTTTAAAAATGCGCTACTCCCAGAACTGTTGAATCTATCTCCCAGAAATTTCTTTTCTTGATTCCAGAAGATTCTAAACCATTTTGGGGATCAAATAGCAGGAGAAGGAGCACACTTGCCTTTTAGTGCTGGAGATGCCACCTTCTAGCTAGGCAAACTCAGACCCATCCTTGGCTTCTGTGGAACAGAAGTTCTTCTCATCAAACACAGGTTCTAATCACACACAGGATGGAGGGATGACACACTGAGGCCTGAGCATGGTGCGCAGCACAGGCCCTAATCAGAAAAACCCAGTCCTGAATACCCACTGCCCAATGACCAGGACTGCAAAGGCCACTCCCTGTTCCCCCCCTACAGCCACTGCTGACACTTCCACCATGCGTGCCTGGAAGGCCTCCTCTCGTTGGTCTCCTTCCATTTCCTCTTTTTCTCCTTTCCCTGGAGCTCGCCTCAGTCAGTTGCTACCTCCTGAGTCTATTTGATTGCATCTTCATGTCCTGCAAATTGACAGCAAAGAGGGCAAACTTTCCTGACCAGTACTGTCACTTCTCACTGCCTCTTGCTAAATTAGGTTTAAAGGCCATTTCCTCATCAGAGATGAGCATGGCAGAGTTCCACCCCTTCTCACCACAAAAAGCAAACTTTCCAAAACACAGAAGGAAGGCCTGCCTTTCGACGTCTCTTCCCTATCTCCACGCACTTTACCCTTCTTTTCTTCCTTGCCAGGTCACCTTTGGGGTACTCCATCAGAAGGCTGATGGCAGCTCCCTACAGAACAGCGGGGCCCAGGCCCGGGACTCGGTGGGTCTATAGAAAGGCAGCAGCAGAACCAGGAAGAGGTGATGCTTCCCATTATCGGAGCGAGGTCCTCAGCATCCTGCTCTTTCTGCCCGTCTTCCAACTCTACGATGCCACAAAGCACACTGAAATGAAAAACAATTTTTTAAGAAAGTATCATTTGCCGTAGTGTTGGACTAAGGCAAGAGAGGTGCTCACTCTTGGTTGTATCGCGGTGTCTTCCTGGATTCCTCCTCCTCACAGTGTCACTTCCGAGTCTCCTTGGTCATCACATCCCCATCCACTAGCCTCTCATACTTCGGACTCCTCAGGGCTGCAGCCCTTGGTTCTGCTTCTGGTACTTTTGACCTTAACCATGACCTTGGTTTTAGTCATCCTCCATCCAAGAGATTATTCGCAAACATACATCCCCAAAGAAGACCTCTCCTCTGCGCTCCGTGCCTGTATAAGTAATGAGCTATTCAGCATCTACCCCAGCGTGTCTCAAAGATATCCCAGCTCAGCCTGCCCAAGCCAAAATGCATCTTTCTTCTCTAGCACACTCCTCTGGGATTCGCCATCTCAGTCAGGAGCACTGTCCATCCTTTTTATTGGGGTGTCATCTGGGAATTTCACTCTGGCTCTCCCACCATAGCAGATCTTCTTCCCCCAGGTTTAAGCATCCATCGTGTCCATCCAATTTCCTCTGTCATCTTTGTCTTGGAACTACCCTCTTCACATCCATGACTGCTCTTCTCTAATCTCATTTTCACCCTGCACCAGAGTGATCATTGGTAAAAGCATAGATAATCATATCGCTACTTTGCTTAACACAGTACGCATCAGTGGCTTCCCGTTGCTCTTAAAGAGACCAACCAGCATCTTTAGAATGGCTGTGAGCCCTGCACACCTGGCTCCCACCCAACCTCTCCAGCCGTGTTTTGGGCTGCTTTTTCCCTTGCTCTGAACACAGCCAGTTGACCTCTTTCAGTTTCTTCAATAGATCACACTCGCCCTCTGCCTCAGAGCTCTGGCACATGTTGTCAACTCTGCCTGGTAGAGTCCCCCTAAGAACTTAGTCCCCTAAGAATTGCTGTCTTACTTTACTCACTGCTAAGACAAAATACCTGACATCCAAAATTAAAGGAGCTCACAGTTTGTAGAGGTTTCAGGCCATAGTTGGCTAACTCCAAGGCGGGGTCACATGGCAGAGGGGAGTGGCAGAGGAGAGACAGCCCACGGCAGGCAGTCAGAAGGCAGATAGGCAAACAGTGAGCTACTTTTCTTTCTGACCCTTTAGATTCCATCCAGCAGCTCAGTGCAGGAGGATGGAGGTGTGAGATCAAGGTATCTTTAGGACTGGCTCCTTTGGAAATTGTAAGGGAGGATCTGTTCCATCTCTAGGGAATTGTGACATTCCTTTGCTTACAGAAGCACCACCTCAGCTCTGTCTTTGTCTCCACCAGGTGTCTTTCCTGTACCTACACATGTGAGTGGGACAGATTTCACCATTTTATGAAAAAGCCCTCACCGCAGACTAGGGACCCACTACTTTCATAAAATCTCATTTTAACCAATTGCATCTGAAATGACTCTATTTCCAAATAAGGTCACTTTCTGAGTACTAGGGATTAAGACTTCAACATATGAATGGGAAGAGGGGTCACAATTCTACCCATAACATCCCTTGTTCATCTCCAAGGTTGCATCCTCTAGTTATATACTGTCATAATCCTGCTCTTAGACTTATTCTTCAAGCACTGATCACTGTTAATAATCGTCAATCAAATAATCACACAAAAGTATCTGTTGAGGTGCTGTGTCCATTTTTGTTCCCCAGGCCTGGTATGCAGTGATCCTTCAGTAAGCACTCACTAGGTGACCACTAAAGTGCAGGTCAGTATGGGGAAGCCAGGCTTCTCCCCCCAAGTCTGCTCAGTCACTTCTCAGTGCTTGGCCTGCGGTGACCAAGGTGAGAAGGGCTGGGTCAGTTGATGCCCAGTCTCAGTGACCTTGGGAATTTCTACACAAATTCTCCCATAAAGCCAAGGCTATGCTAGAAAGATGTCTCTCCCTGAGCTCCAAGTGCGACTCAGTGTCACCAGTGATTACCACTAAGGCCCTGAGCGAGCCTCTCCAGAGATCTTACAAACGGGCCACTTCCCTACAGGCTAGAATAGCTCAGGTGGGTGCTTAAAGACTGAGTAAAATAAATATTGTAATATGCTAAAAACGGCTTTTCGATACCTTTGAACATGGTCCCTCAGTGCAGACAGAAAGGGATCCTTAGCTCAGTCCTCTGACCAGGAGTCCTGTTCATGAGTCACTGGCAACAGCACGGTGGAAGAATACAGAACCCAGCAAGGTCAAAGGCTTTGGCACAGATGTGCCTGCGACAGTTAGGCCTGCCTCGCTCGATGCTGGAGGGATAAGTGTTGCGTTTGCAGAGGATTCAGGTAGTTTCATGTCTGGCTTTAGTGTCCCGTGCTCTCGTGGCGCATGGAAAGCTGAATACTCTCAATGCTGAACTTCCAGACGCTTCAACCCACTGCCCTGCCACAAGTCATGACCTCTGAAAGGCTCCCGCGCCCGCAAGAAGCCAGGATGAGGCACAGAGCAAAGGTGAGTGTGGTGTCTGGAAGAGGGAATCCTTGGAGCCAGAGCCCTGCTGCCACCTTCTCCCTTCTCTGAGCAGGTCAGCGCGGCTCAGGCCTTTCGTGGTACAAGCATTTGGAAGCGACATTCTCGCCCGCGCGCGCCCCCAGCTGGCAGCTCGGCTGAGCTCGCGGAGGAGACCGCCCGCAATCACAGCGATTCAGCGCGGAAAAGGGGCTGGGGTTCTAGGAGCTGTCAGAATCTGTGGGAAATCCCACACAACTCTTCTCTTTCACCAGTTTAAATCTTTTCACCCTCAATTTGTAGGAGAAACTTCACCTACAGGTTGTTCCTGACCCCACACACGTGCACATGCACACGCACGCGCAAATGGGAGCTGTGAGGGAAGAGCACCTTCCTACATCCTCTACTTTCGACTCGGCTGGGAGCCAGCTTACTTCTTGCCGAGAGCTGTCCAGGCACTATCAGGTGCCCCAGGCCCGGGCCGTGTCCATGCAGTGACCACGCGCTGACCGCTACTGAAGAGTTGGCTCTTCCCTGGCGGTCACGTCTGCTTTTACAGCACTGTCCCGGGGCAGCAAAACAGCATCTCTGAACTCAAGCCTGCCCTCTCCTGCAAGAGCAGGTGAAGAGGGACAGCACAGTCACCTCTGCTGATGACTCTGATAACCAGGGTCACAAGTAATCAGTGTCAAATCCTCCGTGGCAATTCTCCTAAGGGCTCATAAAAGAATACACTACACAAAAATAGGCTCCGTTTAGACACTCAGAGGCTACCTCTCACTTCATAGCCAGTCAGCCAGCAAATGTTAGAAGAGGTGAGGAGAAAAAGGAAGCTCTCATCAACCAGAACACATTTCTTGTGAGACAGTCATAGTCATCTGTTGGCAGGGGTTTGCAGAGATCTACAGCAGCAGAAAGCAGAAAAGTGCCACTTGAGCATTGATAATGATACAAAGGACTCTCCTGAGCACACAGTGGTCCACCTTCTCATCACAAGAGATCGCAGAGGATAATGATGGGTTATGATCTCATTTTGTTCCAAGACAGATTTGAGGTTGTGGATTGCAGAACCAGTAACAAATCACTCCATACTAATGGCTATGTCATCTTTCATAGCAGGAACTGGAAAAGAAAATGCAAAGTCCAATGTATACATCTGGGAAAAGACAGTATTTACATAAGATGCAAATGCTGGAAATGAACCGTAAAAGACAAGAGGTAAATAGGGGAGTACTATCATATTCAGCAAATTGACACCACACGGTCATTACACTGCCACGTGAAATAGCCAAACTTATACGTCCAAGCTTTTCTTGGCATTTCAAATGCAGTACCTGGGGCTTCAGATTCACCTACTATACCTGGGAAGAACGGGGGAGATTTCTTCTGCTAAGAGCCCTCTTAAGACTTTCCTATTTGTAGCAATCTCAGGAATGTATCTGTGCTTCAAGTCTTCTTTTTAAAAGCAAGTCACTCCTCTGACACTCTGCAAGAAAATGGGGTAGACAGTTTGTCCTGGTTAACTGAAAGGGAGATGGCTAGGAATAGGAGTTGGTCTTTATTCTCTTTCTCTCTATAACTCATGCCACAAGATTATCTCACAAGAAAGATTTTGTCTTGCTCCATTTTCTGCTGCCAAAACAGACTATCATAGTCTGGGTAATCAACCAAGAAAAGAAACCCATTTCTCACACTTCTGGAGGCTGGGAAGTCTAAGGTCAGTGTGTGACATTTTCTTGCTATATTTTAGCTTGGTAGAGGACAGCATTTGACAAGACAGTGACAGGGCAGGAGTAGGAGAAACCCAAGCCACTGAACACACTTGTACAACAATCTACCCTCATGAGGACTAACCCCACTCCCAGGACACTAACCTCAGTCTATAAGGAGGGAGGAGCCCTCATAACCCAAACATCTATTATAGGCTCCACCTCCGAATACCATCAGTGTGAATCTGGGCATTAAGTTGCCAAAACATGAATTTTGTGAGACACCTGCAATTAAAGCAGACCTCTTGTAACAAACTTCCTTAGTAGTAATGTCCCGACACTGTCATATTCCACATTTCTCTCTGCATAGAATAAGTTTATGGTTAGTGCCTTCTACAGTTCCAAACATGGCAGTCTCCAGAGAAATGCTTCTATAGTCACCCTCTTCCTAGTTGAGCTGTACCTTTTTGAGACTGTGCACACTCATCTTTCTCCTGATAAGCCTGTGAATAAAGAAACCCTCCCCTCGTAGCTCCTCACAGGAAAAAGAAAACTGTTGCGGTTAGGGGGCTACAGATGACCATGGACAATCTACACTTGTCACAGTGACCGATCTAGTCTCTCCTCATAAAAGGAACTTGGGAAAACTTTAACCACTTACGGACGATCATTTTCAGGTCCAAATGGAACTGAAGAAAAGTCTTCACAGGGAAGCAAAAATGAATAAGCAAAAACTGAGAGACCATAAGGCCAAAAAAATACTTCAAAATTTCCCCAGAAATGATGACTGCAGCATTGTAACCCTGTTGCCTGACGAAACTGTGAGCAGAAGTCTAGGTGAGTCATATTATCTTTTGTTAGTAAAATATTTCAAGCATTTTAGAACCCTCATCAAACACATCCCCAGGGTGGAAGTAGAGAACACAGTGAAAAGATACAAACAGCCTTGGACTTTTGCTGCTGGTATGTCCCTCTTAGGATACAGTGGACACATGGCAGAAAAGACAGAAATGTAAGCTCTACAATAAAATGTTGCCTTCCCTGTGTGGGTTTAACAGGACTTACATGCATTGCAATCCTTGCCCCATCCCTATGAGGAAAAGGCAAAGTCTCCTCATCTGATGGCCAGCGAGAAGGAAGCGTGCGGAGCTGCGTCGCATTGCCGTCGCCCTAGGCAAACTTGCCTGAGCTGATTCTGCCCCTGACTGCACTCTTCCCTTTGCAGGTCAGCCCTCCTGGGCACAGACAGGATGACTAAAATAAACCTAGCACCACTGCCCTCCCTGGGCTGGCTCCTCCCGTCACATCCACTATCTCAATGGGTATGGCCTCCATGCCTAGGGCCACACAGGCCAGAGCTCTGGGTCTTCTGTAGCCCTTCTCCCTCACCATGTGGCTGAGCTGGTAGGTCACAAAGTCCTGCTGAGGTCACTGATGCTGAAATCTGCCCTCTTTCTTCTGTTCCCAGTGGTGTCACCTTAGGCTGAGCCCTCAGCCAGTCACTCCAGGGTCCTGCAGCGGCCACCTGAGCAGTGTCCTGCCCTTAGGCCTTGCCCCCTTCCACCTATCCTCCATGTCAGTATCAGCTGGGGGACTGGATCGGTGCTCCAGCTAGTGGAACCCAGACACGCTGCAGGGTGAGGCCCAGCATCTGGGTTTAAAATCACCCCCACTTGCCCAAGGGACGCTGCCATCCCTTCAGGGACCCTGATGGGGAGCGCTTCTCCACAGCCAGCATTCTTGGCCTCCCAGATGAGAACATCAGGCTGCCCAGACCTACTGAATCAGGATGGGCAGGAAAATCCCAGCGGATGCTCATGCACTGAGGTGCCCCAGTGCTGCACTAATGGCAAGGGATCTCGTAAAATGAAAATCTGACTGCATCATTCTCCTGCTTTAAAAAATATCATTCAGTGACTCTCCATCAATTTCAGGACAAAAGCTAAGCTTCTTAACATGGGACCCTAGGCCTTTCAGGACCTGGCTCTCCCCGCCTTCCACTCTTGCCTCCTGCGCCTCACACACCAGCTCTCCCACCCCAGCGGGGCCAGGCCTCTCCACTGCTCCAGGCCGTGCTCCCCAGCAGACACCCACGTCGGTAACCGCTTCCTAACCGCTGTGCAGCACTGCCTCGCTAGCGGGAGCCCGTGGTGTGTTCCCTCTTTGTAGTCCCCAAGGGAAACCTGCAGTTACAGATGCGCTATGTCGGTCACACACACTGCAAACTGCCCCTCCACCAGCCTGACTGACCACTGCTGTGGACCCTCAGCGCTCCCCTGGGTGTACTCAACTGCTAAAATGCAAAACTGCCTGCTGAAAAATGTGCCGCCCTGCTCAGAACAACAAGATGCTTAATCAATAAGTGAATTATTTCACTTCGTGTATGGTCTCAAGTTGCCTCCATTTACCTATAAAAGCCTCAAGATCATCAGCATACTACTAAATTTTTATTAGTTCATCCAACAGAATAGTTTTTACTGTCATTGTTTGACTGCCCACTTTTTATGCTTTGATTTTGTAGCTTGAACAATTATTTCTAAGATAACAATATGTAATTTTTAAAAAAATAAGTGAATTAAATAGAAAAGGCTGAATAATTGAAAATCTACTTGGGGCATTCATTTAACCTTATGCTCCCAAGTTTCAGAATGAAATACACTTTGTAGTCACATAGTGAAACACATTTTCTAAAAATATTGGTAAAACCATCAAAACCACAGCCTCAGCTAAAGTCATCACTCGAGAGCAAGCCCAGAAAAACCAGCACTGGCTTTGGAGGGTTGGAGTCTCTCCATGGCCCGGAGAGACTAGGAAAAGGCTGAGGCCACAGGGAAGTGGTTTTTGTTCTCCTTTCCTGAGGCTTTTTAAAGCAGCTTTTTTGGTTCACACAGTCTGGGGGAATGCTCACAAGCCAGTCCTATGGTCTGCCTAACCATGTGTTATCTCATTTAATCCTCTCACAACCTTGAAGGCAGGAGTACCTATTCACTTCATTGTGGCAGATGCAGGATTCAAGGCCAGGACTCTTGACTTCCCACTGGTGTGGCTTCAGCAGGAGGCCAGGGACTTGCAACTCCATCCAGGACAACCCTGGGGTCACTACTCATATATAAGGCAAATCTTTGGCTGATCTTTCCAGAGAAGGCTATACTTTGAGCCTTCCCATGGAAGCAGGGGCTGGGAGAGGATGGCCGCATGTTCTCCTGCCCCTCGCCTTCCCAGGGTGGGCACCCAAAGTATAACTCAGGCAGGAGCAACCGGACAGGGGGGAGGTGGCACTAGTGGCAGGGCTGTGGGTCAGAAGCAGAACCAACAGAGGAGTCAGAGGAACCCGATCTTTAGGCGAAAGTCCTACTTTTTAAAAATTTTCTAATTGATATTGGTGATTAGCCAAACTTAGATGGACTGGATAACTCTTGAAAGTTACCTCAACACTTAAATTTTATAAAAATCTTTCTTTGTAATGACTGTGTGTGTGTGTGTGTGTGTGTTCATGTGTGAATACACATAAAATGAGCCCGCAAGGGGTAGATTTTCCTAGTATGAGATAGAAATTCTAAGTCTCCCTATGAAATTACATTTAGTCACAGTCTCATGGAGGAAGAGGGCTGCAGCAGCTCACTCGCCTTTTGAGAAATTGTTGAAGTAGACGGGAGGGAGCTGTGGGTGTTTCTTTGGTGTTGGCACAGAATCTGCCACGCTCCTCTGTGCTTTAACTCTCGTCCTGTCCTATCCACATGAGGGCATTGGGATAATGTGGACAGAGGTACTAGTGACATGGTGCTTCTAACCATTTTAAATGGATTACAGAACCCTCTGCATGCTGGTTCTGTGAAGTGAGACGTTTTCCACCTCTCTGTTACAGATCTGTAGAGGACAAATCCATGTTCAAGGCCACACAGAGACCCAGGAAGATGCTCAGGGGATGACACATGTTCAGGGTGCCGACTGTGAGCTCATTCACTTCCCTGCACTTGCTGGGCAGATGCTCTAGCAAGGACTCCTTCCTCCTCTCTGCTGCAGAGCGTTGTACCTTCTTCCTCTGCCTTCCAAAGGTCGCTCACTTTGCTTTTTCCCACAAGTGGGTAGAGCCAAGATCATGCACAGACATGAGCTTCCGGCTAGTCAGGCTCGTCCAAGAGGCAGATGAGGCGCTCTCAGTCACGTGGCTGCCCTTTCTTGTTCCCCTTTTGGAAGGTGGGATGAGAGCCACAGCAGTCTTGTGAGATAAAATCAACTTGCTGCTGCCTCTTTAATCACCTACTCTGTATGTCACACATATTTACATGGTAAATTTCATACAACAACATAGCAAAATAACTTATGTAATCACATCATGTACACGAAGTGAGCCTCACTCTTTGGGGCGTATAATTCTATGAGTTTTCGTGTGTGTTTATGTGGCCCCTACACTTTCAGAATCACGGTGCAAACATAGTGGAGAAAGGCACTGGAGTAAGAATCAAGGTCCTTCCCGGAACCCAGCAGTGCACTCACTGGATGAGCTCCACCAGAACAGGCAGCTTTCGTCGCCCAGGATGGCCCTGGCACGTTAGAGTTTTCCAATAAAAACCAACCATACATTTTTCCTGCATGGTTTTTTCCTTTAAGGAGAGAATACAGCTAAATTCCAGTTATGGAATCTCTGTGAACCTAAGTTTCCACATGTGCAAGTGGAAATAAATATTGTCTACCATGTAAGATTTATGTAGAAATTTATCTTGTATGTGTAAGAGCACTTAGAAAATTTTATATGCCATTAAGTAAGGTACAGAAACACAGACAAAATCTTTTAAGGTAGAAATTTATAGTTTATAGTTAAACAACTGTAATGCTTCACAGAAATGTCACCTAAGTCCATCATTTGAAAGTCACCTGCTCAATTCTGGTCTTACCTAACTACCTATACTAGTTTTCTATAAAGCTTTATTTTTTAAATTATATGATTGTCTATAAAATTGGGAGTGTACTATAGAGTGATTCCTTTTTCTAAACACATTATAAAACATATAATTGCCAAATATTTTTCATATTTTATAACTTTGTACTACTTAACTCACACACACACACACACACACAGAAGCAACTGTTGCTTTTCTCTCTCACCAAATTAATTTTGGCAGAACATACTTCTCTCTTTTTCACTCAAAACCCTTTTAGATTTTTGTAGGTTGTGTTTTTTTATATTAAGCCTATAAACCACAGAAAATCAAACATCTTACAAAAATATAACATAACATCTAGCACAGAAGTTCTCAAACTGTAATGCTGTGTATACACAATTGTGTACGTAAGACTTTCTGAGGGACAAAGTTTGATTTTCAAAGCTGACTGAATATTTTGCTCACAATATAACTTCAGACCTGAATTATCCTAACACAAAGGGTGTTCTGGACGTGTGCTATCATTAGTATCACATTAGTATCATGTGGACTAACAAACATTTTCTCTTTGAAAGCTTCTGCCTCTAGTCACGTGTTCTAGAACATTCGTCCTCTCACTCTGTGGGATGCCTCCAGCAGTTCCTGGCCCATCTTCCTAGCAGAGGTAATGGATACCTCTAAGCACCAGTGAATAATCTTTCTCAGGTCCATTTTACCATTACTTCTACCTCCTAAAGTTCTCTGACCTTTTATTGAGGTGTTGGTCGATTCATTTACTTATTAAACACATAGCTATTGAGGACACACAGGTGCCAGGCATTCCTTGGCACTCAGCACAGGGAGGGAGCCAGGCAGATGTGTTTCCTAATTGCAGAGCCTTCCCAGAACATGTGAGGAATGAGAAAATGTTCAGGCATCAGGGTGTAACTGGAAAAGCTGGTAATCTGCAGGGCAGGGCTGGGTCCCATTGGGAAGTGACATTCTGCTAGGACATGCAGGAGCAAGAGTGCATGTGACTGTGCAGACCAGGGATGCTGGAATGTTCAGAAATGTCACTACTTCTGGGATGTGCAGAAGCCCTGCAGTGGGAGGGGCACAATGCACGTAGACACTGGACAGAGATTGGAGGATGGGCAGCGATGGTTCCGAAGACTTCAGCAGCAGCCTTGCAAGGTGTGTCAAGTACAGATTTCGAACTCTGTCTTAAGATCAGTGGGAAAATTGATAGGCCAAGGGAGCAGTATAATCTGGTATTTTTTAAAAAATATTCACTGTGTCTACACTGTGGAGAGCGAAACCCAAGAGAGGCAGGAGACCGTTCTAAGAGTGCAGCGGCACACGTGGAGGGGATGGGTGCTGGGGAACCGATGTCAGGGTAAGAACAGAGAGAAAAACCAGAGAGCAATGTGTAGGGGCACGGTTGGCAGGCGCCACTGATGGGTCAGGGGTGGGCACACAGAGTGAGGACGAAGGCCAGGTGGACTTCCGGGTTCCCTGGAGTTACTGGGCAGGTGAGGGGGCAAGGCTGGGGCTGTTTTGTGACCCACAGCAACTAGAATCTGCAGGGCAGGGCTGGGTCCCATTGCGAAGAGCAGGTTTGTGAGTCCAGAGGTGAGGCAGACACATGGCCAGGAGGATAGCAAAGCAGAAACGTCGGCTCTAAAAAAACCTGCTGTAGCTCAGAAGAGCGGTCAGGGTTGCAAACAGGTGAGCTGCAGTGATCCGTCAGGGTTATGCAGCGAGGCAACAATCAGAATAACCAAGGCCCTTGAGGGAAGAGCAGAGTCATCTTTCCTGAGGCTGAAGGAACTCTGAGAAATCACAAGGCACAAATCTTTACGTCGAAATGCTTGACTCTAAGTTCATCAAGCTGTGTATATTTAAAATGTTCTGGCATTCTGGGAGGCTGAAATAGAAAGATCTCAAGTTCAAGCCCAATGTCAATTTAGTGAGACTTCTGCAAAAATAAGAGAGTGGGAATATAATTCAATGTGAACGTCCTAGGTTTGACCCCCAGTATTTTTTTTTAAAGTGCATAGTTTTTTTGTATGTCAGCCACACATCAATAGTTTTTTTTAATGAGGCTAAAGAAATAAGAAATGGTGGGTTTCTTATACAGTAGAATGTAACTGCTGCTATCAAGAGTTTAAATAAAATATGACAAAAGTTTCAATAGATACTGATCACTAAGATGATTCAGACTGTTTTATCTACAGTAGAGGAGACCAGGGGCTTTAACTTGGTATTATTTTCCTGCTTAAAGGTAGTTGGGAAGATTTTCTTTTCTTTTAATTTTAATTTTAAAGAAAACAAAACAAAACAAAACAATGGGAACAATATTGGATTTCAAATACAAGACAGTAGGAATCATCTAGAGTTATTCTAATGCACATTGTTATCCTCTGACACCAGACACAGGCATGCAAAGAAAGCACCAAGTGGTTTCTTTACTTCTATCATTTCAGAAATTTCAGGTGTGTGCCTGCTAGTTTCTTTTGTGTTTATGTCTTCTGGACTTGCTCTGCGTGGGCTGGAGGTCGAGACTGTGCCTGACTCCTTCATCCTTTGATCCAAGATTCCCAGAGTGGTGGAGAGGTGTGGGCAGCTACTCTTCAGCGTTCCCTGATGGCAGCAGGGCCTTGGGAGTGTGGCTTCCTTTCCTTCAGTCCATGGCAGCAGGGGCACCGGTGGGGAGGGGAGAGTTGTTTCTTTCTAATGAACTGACCATTACAATTCTAAAGTTCTGGCCAACAGATCATAGGAAGATACCATTTAAGGCTCCTGCTTGAAACCAACAGCTTCAGAAAACTGCCAGCCTTGATTCAGGGCCAAGATTTTCTTTCCTTTTCGTTTCTTCGTGTGTGTCTTCTTGAGACAAGGCTTTGCTCCGCAGTTTAGGCTGGCCTTGAACTCACCTGGCAACCCAGGCTGGCCCTGAATTTGCATCAGTCCTCTTGCCTCAGTCTCTCTCAGGCTGAGGTTACAGATGTGCACCACTACCCAGCTAAGATTTATTTTCTTGAAAGCTAACATTTCTCAAGAAAGTCCGTGTTACTCTGAACATTCTAAAAGGATGCAAGAGGGGCTAGGGATATAACTCAGCATCACAAGTGCCTGCCTGGAAAGTGCAAGGTCCTGAGTTCAATTCCCAAAAATACATAAATAAATATATAATTAAATTAAATATATTAAGGATGCTTGATGCTGCTTAAATAAAAAGTTAAATACACATATCTTCACACAAGTAAAATCTCACATCAATGCTTTTCTAGTGAAAAAATGAAAAACAAATATAAAACTGAATGAGTTCCTAGTTCTCTATAAAGTCAGTTGATGTGAATGTTAAATCATGTACCTAATACATGCTAAACAGTACTGAAAACAGCACTTATTCAATATTCTTGTCCAACATGTTTAACCTTAATTTAACCACAAGAAAACATTTTCAAAATGCCCAAGTCTTGGGTCATTCTGCAAGATAATTAACCTAGACTCTTTAAAATGTCAGTGTTAAAAAATAATTAAGACAATGAAGACAGAAGGAGGGGGAGAGAGGGACTGAGAGAAAAGGAGAGGTGAGAATCTTTTAATTAAAAAAGATAAAGAAACGGAAAATAAATAGAGACATGACCCTAATTTGGATCCTGCACCTAAAAAAAATAAAAGCCCAGCTCTAAAGAGCATTATTGGAGCCCCCATAGGTATTTGAATAGGGATCATATACAGTAATACCTCAGTTCAAAAACACTTCTATTTGCAAACAGTTCAGCCATCTTCCCCACACAAACATAAACATAGCCCTCTTCCCTTAAATCTTAAAACAAATTGAGTTTATAAACCAAGATATTAGATAGCATTATATCAGCACTAAATTTTCTAGTGAAATCAGTATGCTATAGTTATATAGGGGAAATGCCCTTGTTCATATGAGATTTGTGATGATATATCTAGGGTGTGTGACTGTAACCAATCTTAAGTGGCTCAGCTGAACAATATTGTGCAAAACGCTATGGATGTCTTAGGGTATTGTTATGTACTATATCATTCTTGTGACTTTCAAAAGATTTAAAAATACTCAAAATAACAATTAAAAATTTTTGATGCTTACAGAGACACCAGTTGGAAATACATATGTATATTTGCATATGTCTTGAAAAAAAACTAATTTATTCTCTATTCATAAAAATCTAGGCGCTGAGAGACTGGGGATTTAGCTCAACGGTATAAGCAACTGCCTGGTGAGCACAAGGTCTTGAGTTCAATCCCTGGTACAAAAAAAAAAAAAAAAAAAAAAATCTAGGCACTTAACTAACCCAAAAAATTGGTAGGAAAAATTAAATTGAAATAACTTTTCAACGTTTGTAGGAAATTCACAGGATGCCGAATTTTTGGACTATCAAGCAAGAAACAACTATTGCCCTTGGAAAATGGGCAAAATGGAAATGTGGTTCCATGAACAAGAGGCTGATGGGCATCTTCTCTGGGACAGTTCAAGCTCTGACTCAGAGGAACCAGGGAGAGAGGAGAAAAAACCTCAGCCACTGGTGAGGACCAGGACAGAGAAAATTCCACTTTTTGATGAGTTTTTTGATCAGGAATAAGTAAGTTACTCATGAACATGGATGGTAAGGATACGTTTGATTTTCAAACAAAATTCTTCAAGTTAATATATAAGTTGCTGTGAGGAAAGCATTTCACTTTGGTAAACAGGTTATCATTTGGAGGTTCCTGGTTAACAAATTCGTCATTTATGCTATTAACTTGCTACTCAAAACCGCCTTTCTGTGGGTGGCTGGAGTCAGCAGGGTGGTTCTTCTGCTGATCTCTTTGAAATCTCTCATGTAGTTGGAATTAGATGGCAGCTAGAACTGGAGTCAGCTGAAGGCTGGACGAGGACTGACACTGCTGGACCCTGGCTACTCTCCATGCGGTCTCGAGCCTCTTCACATGATCTCAACAGCAGGGTAGTGAAATTTCCTTCACATAAGCCCAGGACTCCTGAAAGCAACTGACCCAAGAGGAGGACTCAGAAGTCCAGTCACAGAACTGGCTCAGCATCACTTCCTGCATGTTCCGTTGGCTAACCCAAGACATACAGCCAGATGCTTGCCAATGAAGAGTCTTCATGAGGGCACAGATGCCAAGTGTGATCCTTTGCGATCCATATTGGACTCCTGCCACCACACCATGGTTTTACAAGTGAATTAGATCACAGGAAAAAGAAGAGAGTAGATTAGAGTTTTTGAAGGATAGTCACAGTTATGCTCTACTAGACACTGAAATCATTTTAGGCCACATTTTTGTGAGTTGGCCATAACAGAGAGGCTTCAAGACAGGAATGGAATGATGTCAAGTGTGGAAAGCCATTGTGAATTCAAACACAAAACTGAGACCTCTTAGATTCATATGGCACTTACAGCTCTTTAAAATTAAAAGGAACCTTAGAATTTTTCAATCCAAAAGTTATTCCATTTATAAAAATTAGATTTTAAAGGAAAGTTTTTCAAGTACTTCTTTGAGCAAAGGTCAGATCTGTGTTCAGCATGGTCTGACAAGAGTTCTAAGCAATCCGAAGGGTTCCAAGAATGTTTAAAACAAAGCAAAAACACCCTCATTTATTTTAAAGAGCAAAAATAAAAGCAATGATACATTCAAAACAAGGCAATAGGAAATTAACAGTGGTTAATGTAATGTGTATTGTTATCCTCAAGGTAGCTGCTCACATTGCAAGATATAAGACGCAAAGTTGATCAAACAATATTAAGTACAAACCATTCTTTTCAACAAATTAATAGAAATTAGTAGTATAATTACCTTAGTTATCATATACATGATATATGTATGATTTTCCCTTCCTTTTCTCCTTTCCTCCATTCCAGCTGTTCTTTCCTTTTGAGTAGTTTCTTTCCCTTTCACTATATCTATTGTGCATTTGGGATCTTAATTACTTTTTCAGTTTCTTACACTAGTGAGACAATACAATATTTATGCATGTAAGTCTGATTTATTTCTGATATGGTCTAGTTGCATCCATTTACCTATAAAATCCTCAAGTTTAACCTTCTTTATAGCTGAGTAGTAATCCATTGTGTAGAAATATCAGATAATTTTTATCCATTCTTCGGTCAATGGGCATTTGGATTGTTTCCAAGATCTAGCTATTAGAAATTGTACTGCTATGAAAATGGATGCACATATATCACTATGATATGATGTTTATAATTCTCCTGGGAAAATGCCCAAAAAGGAGATAGGTGGGTTGAGTGGGACTTCTAACCCTAGTTTTTTGAGGAATCTTCTCCCACTGATTTCCACAGTGGTTGTAAGAGTCTACACTTCCATCAACAGTGAAAAATGGTTCCTTTTTTCCCACAGCCCCTCTAGCATTTGTTATTAGTTGATTTCTTGATGATAGCCAGTTGTTCTGGGGTGAAGTAGAATCTTAGTGCTATTTTAATTTGCATTTCTTGAATAACCAATGATGTTGAACCTTTTTCATGTATTTATTTGCCATTTGTATTTCTTCATCTGAAAAGTGTATATGCATCTGAGATGCCCATTTTTGGATTGGGTCTTTGAATGTTTTAACTCTTTATGCATTCTGATAGAAGTCCTCTGTGTGAGAGACAGTAAGCTAAAACTTTTTCCTATTCTGTGCGTTTGTTTTTTACTCTGTGGGTGATTCTTGTGATGTGAAAAACTCTTTAATAAGATGAGCTCCAATTATTGATTCTTTGAGGTACTTCCCATGCAGTTTGGTTTTTGTTCATGAAGTCTCTGCCTAGCTCTGTGTCTTCAAGGTTTCTACCTACTTTCTTTTTCAGTAGATTTAGTATTTCTGTTTTAATATTTAGGTCCTCGATCCAGTTTGACTTTATTTTAGTGCATGGTGATATACATGGTCTAGTTTTAGTCTTTGGCATGGAAAGCCAGTTTTTCCAGCAGCATTTATTAAAGAGGCTATATTTCTTCTAGTGAACATGTTTTGCACTTTTAAAGATAAGGTAACTGAATGTATTTGTACTTATGTCTGCATCTTCTAATCTGTTCCACTGCTCCTTAGGTCTGGTTTTTGCCAGTACCATGCTGATTTTATCACAGCAGTTTTGTAGTATAACTTCAAGTTATGATGCCTCCTGCCTTGACTTTGTTGTCCAGGATTGCCTTTAGTATTCTAGGTCTCTCCTCTTTCCAAATGAATTTTAGGGATGTTTTCTCTAGATATTTGAGGTTTGCTAATGGCATTTTGATCAGAATTGCATTAAATCTGTATAACAGTTTTGGGAGTGTGACCATTTTCATAATAATGGTTTTTCCTATCCATAAGCAAAGGGTATCTTTCCATTTTCTGATATCCTCTCTATCTCTTCTTTTAAAGTACTTTAATTTTCAGCATAGATCTTTTATTTTCTCTGTTGATTCCTCAGTTTTTGTTTATTTTCCTTTTTTAAAAAGATAGTATGGTGAAGGGTGCTCTTTCCCTAACTCCTCTCTCAGTGAACTTGTTGTTTGTGTACAGGAATGTTAATCATTTCTGAGTATTAACTTTATATTCCTCTACACTACTGAATTTGCTTATTAAGTCTAGAAGTTTTTTGGTAGAGTTTTTAGGGTCTTTTGTTTAGAGTATCATGTCATCTATGGATAATAGTTATTTAATTTGTTCCTTTTTATCTTTATTCATTTTATTTATCTCTCTTATATCACTGCTCTTGCTAAAGTGTCCAAAACTATATTGAATAAGAGTGGTGTTAGTGGACATCCTTGTCTTGTTCCTCATTTTGGAGTGAAAGCTTTCAGCTTTTGAGCAGTTAGTTTAATGTTGGCTGTTAGTTTATCATAGATGGTTTTTGTTAGATTAAGATAAAGACATATATTCTAATTTTCAGTAAGGTTTTTGTCATGAATGACTATTGGGCTTTATCAAAAGCTTTTTCTGCATCTATTGAGATAATCATGTGATATTTTATTGATATGGTGTATTACATTTATTGATTTGCATATGTTGAACCATTCCTGCATTCCTGGGATGAATTCCACTTGATCATCGTATATAATCTTCTTAATGATTTGCTGCATTCTGTTTGCTAATATTTTATTGAGAATTTTTGCATCTAGGTTCATTAGGAGATTGGTCTGTAGTTCTCTTTTTGGGTTGGGTCTTTTTCTGGTTTTAATATCATGGTAATACTTGCCCAGGAAGGAGTTAGAGAGAAGTACTTCCTTTTCAATTTCATTAAAAAATTTGAGGAGTACTGACATTATATCTTCTCTAAATTTCTTTTAGAAGTCAGCTATGAATTTATCAGGACCTGGGCGTTTCTTTGTTGGAAGGTTTTTAATAGCATTTTCAATTTTCTTAACTGATATTTATTCAGAAGTTTTATATCTTCTTGATTCAACTTTGGTATCTCATGTGTCTCTCATCTGTCTGTTTCTTCTGTGTTTTCCAATCTATGCAGGGAGGCTTTCAAAGCAGGAATTGGTTACCTGAATTTCCACAGGATCTGTAGTGATCTCACTCTTTTTATTCCTTATTGCTTGAATTTGAGTTTTTTCTTTCTTTTTTTCATAAGGTTAGTTTGGGGTTTATCAATTTTACTTACTCTTTCCAATAACCAACTCTTTAATTCATTAAGTTTTTATATTATTTTATTAGTCTCAATTGCATTAATTTCTCCTCTGATCTTTATAATTCCTCCTTTTTATGGGCTTTCATCTTGACTTGCTCTTCTTTAGAAGCTTGAGGTGCAGCTTTAGTTTAGTTGTGCTTGTTCTGTTTTCCTGGTGTGAGAATTCATCACTATAAATTTTCCTCTTGTGACTGCTTTAATGCCTCCCACGGGTTCCTATGAGTTGTATTTGCATTTTTGATTGTAGATATTGTTTAATTTCTTCTTTAATTTCATCTGTGACTCACTAAAGAGAGAGTTATTTAATTTCCATGTTTGGGAGGGTTGTCATTAATTTCCAATTTCATTGCACTGTGGTCAGATAATATTCATGAAATAATTTCAATCCCTTTGCATTACTTAAGCACGTTTCATGTGTTAGTAAGTGTATCATCTATGTTAGAGAATGCCTCATGTGCTGCTGAGAAGAATGTGATTCTGAAGTTTTTGGGTGGAACACTCTGTAAACATCTACTAAATCCATTTGTTTATAGATTTGGTTCAGTTCTATAATTTCTTTGCTGTTTTTTTTTATATAATTGATCTATTTTTTTGTCACAATGGGGTGTTAAGGTCCCCCATTACAATTATGTTATTGCTTATTTGATTTCTCGTGTCTATTAATATTTGTTTTATATAATTGGTTGCTCCCTTATTTGGTGCATATATATTTATCTCTTCCTCTTGAATTTTTATCCTAACAAGTATGTAGTGACCTTCTTTGTTTTGATCAGTCTTAGCTTCGAGTTTACATTATCTGCAAGAGAATAGCTACCCCTGCTTTTTTTCTGAGTTCTGTTGCATGAACTATTGTTTTCCATCTTTAAGTCTATGAGTTTCTTTTTGAGCTAAATGTGTTTCTTATATACAGCATATTGTTGGCACTTGTTTCTTAATCCATCCTGCTAGTTTATTTATTTTGATTGGTGAGTTGAGGCCATTTACATTGATAGTTATAACTGCTATGTATTGACTTATCCTTGTCACGTTATTTTCCTGCTGCTAGTTCCCTACTTTCCCCTCTCTGTTTAATTGCTTGACCTGCTTAGTGGTTTCTTTCTGTTGTTGTTTCTTGAATTATGGTTGTTTTTATTCCGGTCTAGAATATCTTTTAAGTTTCCTTTGTAGTGTTGGTTTGGTGGTCATGAATTTCTTCAGTTGTTATTTGTCATGGAAGTATCTTATTTCTCCATTAATTTGAAACATAGTTTTTCAGGGTCCATCAATCTGGGTTGGAAGTTGTTTTCTTTAAGAACTTTAAATACTTCAAGTTCCTCTTGACTTGAGGGTTTGTGTGGAGAAGTCTGCCATGACTCTGATGGACTTTCTTGTGTAGGCCTTTCTTTTTCTAACAGCCTTTACTGTTCTCTTCTTGTGCTGAGTTTCTAGAATCTTGATTATTATGTCTGGGTGTAGACTTATTTTGGTTTAGAATGTTTGGAGTTTATATGCCTCACTTATCTGTATGTCAGGATTCTTTACCCATGCTTGGGAAATTTTCTATTACTTCTGCAAATAGTTTTAAGGTCATTTGTGTTGTCTCTTGCTTTTTCACTGACACCAATTATTCTTATATTATTTATCTTTGCATCATTTTGCAACTGTTGAATTATTATTTCCTGATCTTTTGTCATTGTCAAGAGGTCTTTTCTTTCATGATTGCTACCTGTGATCCTGTCTTCAAGATCAGAAAGTCTGTCTTCAATGTACTGAAGCAATTTTGCAAGCTCTCAATGAAATTTTTAATTTCCTGGGTATCTGTTTGAATGTGTTTCTTTCCTGTATTGATTGTTCAGGGTCTCTGTTCTCTTCCTATCATCATCTAGTTCTGTAATCCAGCTCTACTCTAAATTTGCTGAGCAATTCCTTTATAAATGTTGATATTTCTTTTTTTTAACCTGAGAAATTATTTCTAATCTGATTTCCTCTATAACCGCATTGGTTTGTTTCTTTTCTTTGGTTGTTATCATTTCAGAAATTTCAGGTGTTTCTTCTATGTTGATGTCTCCTGGACTTGTTCTGGTAGGCTGGAGGTCTGAGACTGCATTTTGTTTATTCATCTTGTCATTTTCTATTTTTAAAAAATTATTTTGTTTTCTGTGATGATCCTTGTGAGTTTTTGTGATACAGAGCTATATCACTAGTATTAAGGCTTCTCTAGGAAGTCTCCAAGGATATCTTCTGTGTATAGGAGATTCTTGGTTTGTGTCTGCTCCAAAATCCTACTTTCCCAATTATTTAAGAGTAGGATGTTGGTATCTGTATGATTCAGTTCCCAGTCCTTTGGTGCAAGGATGTGGTAAGATGATTACCCCAGAGCTTCCCAGTATTGTTACAGGGGGTAAACAACTGATATAATATATATGACATCCTAGCTAACATAGTAAAATTAGCAATAACAATAGCATGAAATACAATTTAGAAACTGAAAGCCTGTGGTAACTATTGATTTTGACTTTAGACAATAGGAACAAATCTATAGTTATATAACAGAACTGGTTGTAAATTAGGAATTTGTATGCAGTGTTACCCCTTGGAAGAATGGTTATACCTTATGGTGGGGAAATTTAGGGAAGATAGTGTAATTAAACAAAGTGTGTTGGTTACTTTTTCTCATTGCTGAGATAAACTACCTGGCACCCCAAATTAAGAAGAAAAGGTTTATTTAGCTCAAGTTTGTGAAGATTTCAGTCCGTAATCAGCTGGCTGCAAGGCAGGGTGGCACATAGCAGAGGGCAAAAGGTTCTGACTGTGGAAAACAGCAAAAGCAAGGGCACAAAAAGGAATGAGTGCTCAGAGAAGATTCTTTCTGGCCTTTATATTGTATATAGGCTACTCACCTCAGATGAGTGTAACACTCACACTCATAATCCTAGCATTGGGTGATGAATCAATCACAAATTCTAGAAGCTTTCCCCCATGACTTTATAAGGCTTTATGGGGACATCCAGGCACAAACCATAACACAAAGATAACTGGGAAGTAAGTAAAAGCAAGGATGGAGGACAAAGGATGGTCAGAGAACAAAGTTTTAAAAAACTAGATAGAAAAGAAAGTATGGTATATTTGAGGGATTATCTGAGCTTGGTCTCAAGGTTTGGGGGATGGGATTAGTTGTCTGTGTCTGGAGTTCTGTCCAGCCATTTAGAAGAGAAAAAAGAAAGAAGGAAGAAAGGAAAGGGAAAAGAAGGAGGAGGGGGGGCTGGGGATTTAGCTCAGCGGCATAAGTGCCTGCCTTGCAAGCAGGCAGTTGTGAGTTCAATCCCTGGTACCGATAAAAACAAAAAAGACAAAAAAAAAAAGAAGGAGGAGGAGGAGGAGGAAAAGTAGAAGAAGAAGAAGAAGAAGAAGAAGAAGAAGAAGAAGAAGAAGAAGAAGAAGAAGAAGAAGAAACGATAAAAAAGAAAAGAAATTTTTGAGAGAAAAGGACTGATTACCAAGTCCTTCCATTATGGTGGCTGGTCCCATGGGGGAGAGTCAGGCACCCGAAAAATATTCTTTTAACCCTTCAATGGGAAATCTTTGAAAAGAAAAAATAAAGGAAAATACTATGTGAATTTGACATTCAATCAATCCAGACCAGTCTCTAAGAAAATAAAATGCCTGGATCCTCAGAAAAGGAATATTTAGCTTTCCTCCAGTTGACAGCAATTAGGCCCTCAGCATATCTACTGCAGTTCTTCATGAGTGCCTTTTTTTGATACTAAATGAAAAGCTTATTTCCAGTAAAGGAATACATACACTGTTTGACAGCTAGTTTTCTCACAAGATGAGATCTTCAAGAGGAACAATAAACCCAACTTGTTCATCACAGTGGGTGTGGAAGCCTTAGAGTGGGACGGGAAAGCCCCAGCACTGAAGCTAAGAGAACAAATTAGGCCTTCGTCACATTTCTGTCACTTAAACTTGCATAAAGTTCCCTCCACAAACTCATTGGACTGTGAGCAACACGAGAACACAGACCACATCTTTTCCCTGTGGCATCTCTGCTTCCAAAAACATCTGGCACAGATTAGTTAATGTTTGCTGAATTAATTTATGTGCTAAGTTAACTAGTCAATTAGAGAGGGATTTGTTTCTCTCCAGCTATACAGTGCTCACTGTTGTACTAAAATGTTAAAAAACTAAAATACTTAGTTAAAAAGATAGTTATAAGCAGAATTGTCATTCTGTGCTGTGATTATTACCCTAGTAACCACGTAATTGAAGCACCAACCACATAGTTATAGATTAACTGACCACGTTGTCATGCTGTTCTGTATGCATTATCTCCCGAGTAACCTGTTTGCTGTGTCAACCTTTGTTCCCTTTGTAAGAGACAAATGATGCTGTGTCAACCATTGTTCCCTTTGTGAGAGACAAATGTTCCTGGAATTGGCAGACCAAGGGCTATGAATTGGCTAACCACCCACTGTGAAATGCCTCTGACCTCAAGCAAAGGGGAACAAAGGCCCACCTTGTTTCTGTTACTTATTACTATGTACTTAATGGTCAATGAGCTAATTGTAAATGAACTATAAAAATCTGTCAAAATTCTAACCCAGTTGCACAGCTTTGCAAACTCCATCTGCACTGTGCTGCTGATACCATCTTAAATAAAAGCACTTCTTTTTTTAGATGTCTTGCTCCCTTCTTGACAACAGATAACATCACAGGGCTTGTTTTAGGGGTGCAACATTTGGAGGCATGTCTGGGATTCTATGGGGACCACTCTCCACATTATTTTCACTGATCAATCAGCTTGAACCATCTGTAAGTATTTGAGTCTTTTGTTCTTTGTAATTTGAGTGTGCACCTTTGAAGTTGCAGACAAGCCTGGCCCCTTCTACATTGGAGCGGGACACCCTCCAGGAAAAGGCTTCTAGCCCATTTGTGATTTGGGATTTTTTGTCCTTTGGTTTTGTACTTGGTATATTTTTACTGTGGAGTCATTTGCTTGTTTGAATCTGTTACCTCAGTACTAACATTCAGGTTTCTTTTATTTCTCTTAAACTTTAAACTACTGTTGCAGGTTCCATGTGGCTTATTGGACTTAAGGGTTATAATGAATTTATTTCCCTTTAGGTTGCCAAACCTCGGACAGAAAAACCTTTGTGTCTTTAATGTTGGTCTTGTCTTTTGTGGCACCTTGTTTAATGTTTTAGTCCTCAACTGATTACTTAAAACTTCAGGATGCCTTTAAAAAGTATTTTTCTTACTGGTTAAAATATATATATATATATATATATATATATATATATATATATATATGGTTTTAAAAATCATATTAACTTTATCAAGTGAAGCCAGGTCATACTGTTATTGAGCCAATTTAAAAAGTTACAGTTTGTAAAGTGTAACATTTTAAGGTGGTAAAAAGACATAAAATGATTCAATATATTTTAGACTACTAAGAAAGTCACTTCAAAGATTTTGTTAAAAGTTTTAATGTTGTCTAAAAAGCTAGAGAAAAGGTAATTGACTGGTAATAAGTAAAAAACAGAGAAAAAAAATGTGTTCAGAATTTGACAGAACTGGATCAATAAACCTGTACTGCAAAATGTTTCCATTAAAATAAGATTATATTCCAAAAGGGGGAGGACAAACTAGAGCCCTTTGTCATCCCAAGCTTATATGATGATGATAAGTCAGTATTGACCATTATGTAAAATATATTTGTCAGTGAAAATAAGAACCAAAAAAGACTGTAATTCTCAGTCCTGTCTGGACTAGGAGCCATTAGCATTCAGAATTGCCGGACTCCACTTCCTCAACCCCCTTTTTCTAAGGACCCTCAGGACCTTATTTCTCCTCTGGAATCTGTGTTCTCCACTCATTGCCCCACTTGGGATGACTGCCAGTAGATTTTGTAAGTTTTTTTTTTAATTTTTTATTTTTTATCAGTATCAGGGATCAAACTCATGACCTCCTGCTTGCAAGGCAGGCACTTAAGCCACTGAGCTAAATCCCCAGCCCCGATTTTGCAGGTTTTGTTTACAGCAGAGGAGAGAGAAAACATTCACACTGTGAGATAAAAAGCAGTGTACATTCCAGATGAAAACTCATCCTCTGATACTGAAAGCCAGAACTGTGTTTTCCCTTTGTCCTGCCCCACTGGACAACCAAAGGTAAGGAGGCTCGATCGGTATCACCAGTTGTTCTTGGAAGCTCGCCACCAGAAAACCCCGCTAATTTGTCCAAGGTAGCAGAGGTGAGACAATTGGCTGATGAGTCTCCTCGGGGTTTCTGGAAAGATTGCTAGAGGCCTATTACATTTATACACCCATAGATCCTGTAGCACCTGAAAAGCAAAGGCCATTAATATTGCCTTTGTAACTGTTGGCCCTTGATATTAAGCGAAAATTGCAAAGGCTTGAGGGATTTGAGGGAATGCCCCTCAGTAAGTTATTAGAGATTTCTTAAAAGATATTTGACAACCAGGAAGACCCTAAAGACCAGAAGCGGACAAAAGTGCTGGGAATGCTAGCCGACAAAGTCACCCAGCCAGATGAGAAGTCTCTTCTGCCCCTAGATAAAAATCAATGTGCTTATTGCAAATAAGAGGGGCACTGGCAAAAGGACTGTCCCAAGCTCTTCCATGGGCTTTAGATCTTTCCAAGGGGCTTGATAACATGGCAGCCAGATGGCCACCTTGTCTGTGGATGATTTCCTCAGTGGCCTTCCTAGTAAAGGAGGCTCAAAAATTGACTTTTGGATGGAAACTCTTAATTGTCCCCTCCCAATCACTGGAAAGTCTCATCAAGGCTCTGCCAGACGGCTGCCTAACTCCCAAGCCATGCCTTACTCAGCCTTACTTCTGGATCCAACTACCATCAGTTTCAAGGGGACAGTGACTTTAAACCCAGCTACTCTCCTGTCTGGAAGTTATTGATAATCTCATGGGGCTTCATCCAGATTTGACAGATGAGCCACTGTTGGGAGTTCCATCATATTTCTCCGATGGAAGCAGTTACATTTATCAAGGTAAGTGGGTCATGGGAGCTACTGTCACTACGGACTCTCAGATTCTATGGGAACAAACCTTGGAGCCAGGAACATTGGCCCAATGGGCTGAGCTCACTGCCCTCACTGAGGCCCTCAAGTTGTCAGATTAATAGCAGATACGCATTTGCTACTGCCCATGTTCATAGGCCATTTATCAAGAATGGGGTTCATTGACTTCAGGTGGCCAAAATATCAAAAATGCTCCCCAAATTTTGGATTTTTTAGCTGCCATTTGGATGCCAAGGAAGGTGGCTATTAAATAATCTAGCAGATGCTGCTGCCCAAAAAGCGGCCACAAAATCAGTGGGGATTGAGACAGCCCCGGCATTGCTGCTGATTCCACCTACTTTGTCAGAGCCCTTTTACACTCAAAAAGACTTGCATTTGGCAACTCAACTCCAAGCAAAGCCTGATATCCCTGGGGGCTGGTACCAACTGCCTGATAAGCGAGTCCTCCTCCTCGAGGCCTTGAGATGAAATCAGTCCATTACACGAGAGCATCAAAACTCACTGCCCTTTTTAGAGATAATTTCTTCATCCCTCAGTTATCAAAGCTTACTCAATCTGTGAGACTTAGATGCCCTCAGTGCCAGTTAGTGAACCCAAAGCGACCACAACAAATGGAAACCACTTGTTATCATGGGACTATGCCTGGAAAACATTGGGAAATAGATTTCACAAAAATGGGAAAGCCTGGACTTCAAGGGAATAAGTGCTTATTAGTAATGGTAGATACTTTCACTGGATGGGTCAAAGCTTTTCCTACTAAGTCTGAGTCAGCTCTGATAGCAGTTTCCTTGATTTGGCCTCCCTTTATCCATGGGGTCTGACAATGGCCCAGCTTTTATAGCCCAGATAACTCAAAAACTAACCCAAGTGTTGCAGATTGATTGGAAACTCTATTGTGCTTACTGACCTCAAAGTTCAGGACAAGTAGAAAGGATGAACAAGACCTTAAAAATGGTAATAACTAAGATGGCATTGGAAACTGGTGAGAACTGAGGGAGTCTCCTTCCTTTTGCCCCCTCACACATGCAATGTACCCCCTATGTATGTTGCAGGTGTTTCCCCTTTTGAAGCTCTATATGGGAGACCTCTTCCTCTTATTCCTAAGATATCTGAGGAAAAATTAGCAACCTGGCTAATCAAGATCTTGTTAAGTCCCTCCAGGCCCTTCAGCTAGTTTTGGCTTCTATCCACCAGTAATTCCAAGAACAACATCCTCCGCCTGCAGTCCACTCTGAGGATAAACGTCCTGCAGTGGAACCTGGGACACTAGTCCTCATCAAGAGACATCACTGTGAGACTCTCGAACCACGTCCTACACTGTGGTCCTCAGCACTCCAACTGCCATCAAAGTCACTAGAAAGCCTGCCTGGATTCATCATTTCCACTTCAAGCTGGTTCCAGCCTCTGACAGTGATCAAACTACAGATGAGTGGACTGTTGTTCCCTCCAACGATTCTTTAAAGCTTAAAATTGCCAAACGTATATGATAATCTTGTTCTTATGTGTTCTTCCTTATGGAAACCCCAAGGAGATACCTCATAATCCACTGTTTGGAACTTGGAAAATTACTGACTATTTCACTGGTGAATTATTGGTAGCCAACACTACTGTCCAAGGGATAATTAAGATAGATTTATGTGTCCTATTAAATAACACCCCAGCAAAAATTAGACAGAAGAGAATATTGTTCGGTCTGCATGCCATGCTGCATGATTGGTTGCTAATGGAGCCTTGCAGGGACCCACGTAGTCAAAAGAAATTACAGTCCTCTGGCTGGTATCTTTGCTCCCAAGAGCAACAGCCAGCCTCTGATCACACTAGGAGGTGTTCACAGTCCATAGAGACAGAATATTTTTGTAGACATTGGGGTTGTGAATCCGTATCTCCTTGGCAGGGAAACAAAGGAGATCATTACCTTTTCCTCACTTGGGAGATCCCATCTTCCTGCACCCTAAACCAGTGTAATCTTATGACTTTTAGACCCAAAATCCCAACTGATCCTGTTTGGAAAGCAGGATTACATTATGGTATTATATTATGGATTTCCGGATATGACCCAGGAACGGCCTTTACCATTCAGTTTGTTCCCTGAGCCTGTTTGGACAGCCCCCACCAGGTCCATAGGCCCTTAGGCTCCCCAGCCACGTTGATCTCTTCCTGTCACTCATCTTCCATCCTCCTCCACTAGACTTCCTGCTCCTGAGAACTTTTTGCCCTCTGCCACTTTTGCACCATCCCTAGACCCCTTCTTGCCTCTGAACATTGCTTATCAGTTTCTCAATCTTAGTGCCCCAAACTTCACTGCTGACTGCTGGCTATGCCTTCCATCTCAACCTCCTTCTATATGGGCACCCCTGTGACTATTATGGCAAATCAACTTTTAAATTCCTCTGTAGATGACACCACTTACTTGTTGGTGGGGTGCTAGGCCCCTGCTCACACTGGACAATGTACAAGGTGCTCCAGGAACCCGTGTTTACTCTGTGTCCTACTCCTTGCACACTTCCCCTTATGCTGCACTTTGTAATCTTAACTCTTCAGCTTTAATTCATAATTTTTCCTATCCTGCTAATCAGCACCTTGTTGCTCCCAACAGAACTTGGTTTGCCTGTACTTCTGGTATAACTCCTTGTTCCATGCATCACCTGTTCACCCAGCATCCTGAGCTTTGCATATCTTTCCCCAGGTGTACTGGTACTCTGGAGATAATGGTAGGAGTCATTTGTTCCTTAGCTTTGACCTAAAGAGTCCAGTCCAATTGGAGAGAAATCCCATTCTCATACTTGTATTACTGGGAATTGGGATGGCAGGGTCAATAGGTTTAAGAGTGTCCAGTCTAATAGTTGGAGACCAAAATTATAGACACTTAAGTGCACTCATTGACCAAGATCTAGCAGCCCTTAGAGACTATCTCCAAATTAGACAATTCTTTAAGTTCATTGGCTGAGATGGTCTTACAAAACCAAAGGGGTCTAGATATCCTGTTCCTAAAGGAAGGAGGCCTCTGTCTGGCATTAGGAGAAAATTGTTGCTTGTATGCCAGTCATTTTGGGGTTATCCAACAAAGTATGGCCAGCCTTAAATGTGGCTACAGGAACAAGAACAAGCCAGACAAGTTGAACAGAATTGAATGATGGTTTTCTCTATCTCCCTGGTTGACAACGTTAATCACAGCAGCCTCCAGCATCCTATACAGTATCCCACCTTTCTA